TTTCTACTTCTATCCCCGTTCCCCCATTTTCACATCCTATTTTCATGTCCCTTTCTACTCTGCCTCCATTTCCCCATTTTCACGTCCGTTTCTACTAAGTAATCCCAAATCGAAGTTCCACTGTATTATATTATCTACCAGTGATTCTACGTTGTCTCGTAAATACATCCTGTACCATCTATATATGTACACCCAAATGCCAAACTACCGCACACACAATATCCCCCTCCGCATCCATAATAGTAAGCTCCAAATCCATCCTCCCATTCTTAATCTATATCTTACTCCCATCCTCTCGTCTCGGGGCAACATTCCTCGCCGCCGGCAGCACCATGCACACATGGTGGCTCAACGCCACAATATCCCCCTCCGCATCCATAATAGTAAGCTCCAAATCCATCCTCCCATTCTTAATCTGCTTCGTCTTGCACCTGCTAAACAGCCACTCAACGCCCTCCTCCGGCAACATCTTCTTAAACTCAATATTCAGCAGCACCGTCGGGTACCAGTAGATCCCCAGCGGCTTCTTAGCCGCCTCCGGATCACGGTTCTCCCTCTCCCGGAACGACTCCACGGGCATGGGAAACATATCCGCGATGAACCCCAGCGACTGGTTCGTGATATTCTCCCCGGTATTCATGCGCACCCACTCATCCCCGATACTAATGTGCGGATGCCCGGCCCTCGGGAAGTGGAACTGCAACTTCGTAACCGCCTTCCTGAAACTCGCAAACGGCATCTCGGCCCTGCGTTCCCAGTGCTCATCCTTTCCCTCCTTAAGCTTGACGAGATCCACCGGCGGCGGCGCAGGGTGCAGCTCGAAGCCTGCGTCGAGCGAAAGCCCCTCCTCGGTGTGCAGGTTGGACTGAGTGACATAGGCGACGACTTCCTCGCGGCCCTGAGACATGGAGATGTGGATGACGGAGGTCTGGCGGCCGAGCTTGGTGTCGGTCACTTTGAAGAGGCAGGGGCCTTCCTGGGTCCGGCGCAGGAAGTCGGTGTGGAAGGCGATGGTGTGGGGTTGGTTCTGCGCTTTGAGAGTGGTATCGAAGTGCAGCTTTGCCACGGCGAGGAAATTGCCGCATACGATGCCGCCATTCGGGACTGGGAAGAGGGGTTAGATTGTGAGGTTCTGGATGGGATGGGAGGAAATACCTTTGCCAATAGACCAGTCGGGGGGGAAGCTGCCCTCGTAGGTGTGTGAGTCGATGGCCTTGATTGCGGTGGCTTCCGCGAAGGTGGTGGTTGCCCAGTCGTACGAAGTCGCCATTGTCAATGTCTAAATCTATCGCAAACGCCGTGTATAAGGATAGGAGGGTATAGGAAGAACGAGTGTAATTAAGAGAGTGCTATAAAAGCCATCTTCTTCTAGTCGCGGCACGGAAATGTAGTCGGCACCGCGTCGTGATATACCTCGGCTTGTTCTTATCGGATCTTGGCATCTTTGATTAGTAGTATACGGTAAGTGGCGGCAGAGGCACCGGGAGCCACACGTGCAACGCGATCTAGAAGATCTAGGCACGTATTGCCTGTGCATATCAGACGGGAAATCTTTCTATAATTATAATTATAGTTGTATCCATATATCCATATATTTCCTAGTAAGATACATTTGCCTGATCGCCCTGTATGACCTTGTAAGCCTTATTTTCTGCAATCTGGTCGTAACTTGCCAGTATCGCTGGAGCCTACACTGCGCTTAAGTCGTCGTAATCATGAGACGCAGTTGACAGACACCCACCTGGCTGGCCCACAAGACAGACACGCACTCATATACGAGAACTTCTAGGTCACCAGCGTACAGAAGGTGTTTGTTGGATGAGGCGCATGGCATATCGTAAACTAGGCGTCCAACAACGAGGCCTTGAGGCACAGTCTTCATTGCCCGTTGGTGATCGACAAGCGGTGTTGTCGTTAGAGTCGTCGATAATATGTACTGTACTAGAATCACCGATGGTGGCGTTCTGTTCCATGCACCGTTGGGCAGAGATGCTGTTGGTCAGTAGGTGAATAATAAATCCCCAAAGAGCCCTGCATATATGTAAGTTACTTATGCTGTATTTCGTATGATTATGATTCAGATTCAGGAACAACGTCGATGCGTACAACCACGATCGCCTGACCCACAAGCCTTTCGGATGATTGGCATCGGCATGGCATGAAAGAGATGAAGAGAATAAAGAGCTGATTCTCCGCACCCTCTACAAAGACTCACAACAACCAACATATTTATGAAACCAGCATCTAATTTCTAATTTATTGGTGTGTCGGCTAATTATAATCACTACTTTATAGAGTACGCTACTCGAGGCTACTCTACTTCTACCGTTCAAAGACCCATCTGGGGAACCTCCCGCACGGGAACTTCTGGTCACCGACCAACACGTCCCTCCAGGCTGTTGCGCCATCACTATTCCCAACCATCATCGCCCATCCGATATATATGTTGTTCTTGGATACTTCATAATCACCGATGCCAGAACATATACCGCCCAGCCATCTTTTTAGACCCTCGATTCCACCGCCTTTGTCCGCGAATTGCACGACTGCCGCTGCTTCTTTGGCGGGGTAGCCTTTCATCATGGGAGTTACCAGCAGCAAGCCGGAGGATGGCGCTGCACTGTACCTGAGGGATCAGTCTCGCTGTAAGCTTCATATCCTGTCGCAGTAGATGTGTGACGATGCTAATCAGATTTGTGCGCCTAGTCTCAATCGCCTCTCTTACGGTGACGAACTCGAAACGGCGCGTCGTCGCCCATATCGTGCCAAATGCATACCCAGCGACAAAGGTCAGCGCGAGCCATGACGCCAGCGATCAGAGCATCGTTGAATATGTTCAGGTACGGAACAATCCCTTGCTTCCGCTTTGATATGTCTGACCTTTCGATTGTAGGACCCGGACCCATCGCCCACCTCCGGCGTGCCGAACTTCCTCTTGAAGATAAACAACGACGAGGAGCTCACATTCACATACACACTTATCATACGCCAGTCACAACAGCCATCATCATCCGGAAGTGGTTCTTCCCCTGAAGCCTTGGTCGATACGGCGCTCAACGGACTCACATATGTGTCCGCATCAACCGCCAAGGAGGTGGAGAACTTAGTCACGCTTGAGTTCCATGCCGATCCGAATCTACACAAGAATGCGAACGTACAGCTTGTTGGTGACTACGCGACTGGAGGGAGCCAGTCTGTTTCATTCGACTGGACGTGGAAATGGAGGCCGCCGAAGCCCACAGAGGACAGAGGAGGCGGCTGGAGGAACTGCTGTAGCTTCGTGGAATACGACCAGCGAGCCCACCGGTTAAATACACTGGCGACATTTTCATTCTGGGTCCATAACGTCTACTATGCTGCCAGCGACCCAAGCTCGCCTAAGCAGGCGTTTGCGCTGAATGCGCCACCGAAACTCCGCGTCCCCTCAGCACAGTCTGTGGACTCGCGACAGAGCGTTCTCGATTCAAAGGACTACGAAGACATACCATCTCCCATACTGGCGCCGGCTGATGGCCCGCCCCAGTCGTCTGGCTCAGGGAAGATAGAATTACCCAAAGTGGACGTTTTGTGTCAGCGGCCTGGGGAAGATCTCAGCGCGACTGAAGATGGACCGCTGTTTCGCGCGACCATGAAGTCGTTAGAGCAGAAGACGGGGAATATGCGCGCTCGCATGAAGAAGGTCATTAAACGGGCAGAGGCGGCCCACATGGCGCAAATCGAATGCAATGATGCCATGTCCGGATTTATGGAAGCTCTCCGGGAAGCATCCTCATCGAACGCAAATGCGGTGCAGCCAGCATTAGATCACTACTTCGATAAAATCGCGAAAGAGATATTGCTTTATGAGAAACAGAACACTAAGAATTTACAGAGGATTATTATTGATCCTCTGAGCAAGGTATATGAGCAAGATATTAAGAAGGCAGAGTCCAAGAAGCGAGACTTTGAGGAGGAGAGCAAAGAGTTTTATTCGTATGTTTCGAGGTATCTCGGACAGCGTCAGGATACTATGAAAGACAAGAAGCGAGTAGAGAGTGATACCAAGTATCAGGCCAAACGACGAAATTTCGAGCTCAAGAGGTTCGATTATTCTTCCTTCATGCAGGACCTACACGGTGGCCGCAAAGAGCAAGAGGTTTTGTCGCATCTGACAAAGTATGCCGATGGCCAAACCAAAAACTACCTCACAACCGCGAAAAAGGTGGAAGCAATGCTTCCCCAGCTGGAGGCGCTCAGCACCGAAGTCAAGGAGGCCGATAAGGAGTTCCAGTACATGAGGACGGAGCGCGAGGAAAAGCGACGTAACCTTGAGATGAGCACTGTTACCTACGTCGAGCCAGAGACTGTTCCACAGTTGGCGCGCCCACCGCAGTCAAGTAATGGCGCCGCAGGTACGGCTCAGCTCTCAGATTCGGATATCGGAAGAGCAGACAGCTCAGCCTCACGATTACGGCCAGCTGTGAACAGCAATACCAACCAACCCCTCTCGATATCCGTAACAAGTGCGCCATCTGACGGATCAAAACCAGCCACTACGCCTGCAAGTGCACCTCTGCCAAGCCCCAGAGAATCCAGTAAATTCAAGGGTATCCGGGATCTGGAGGAGAAGGATTACAGCCTTAGCAGCTCCAACGAAAGAGTTGGCACGGAGAGGAAAGAGGGGCTTTTGTGGGCTTTGAGCAAACCCGGTAGTCATGTTGATCCGAAGGGACTCAACAAGCAATCTTGGCACAAGTAAGTTTTACTACAGTGTTGCACAAGCATTTCTAACATTCGTAGATTTTGGATCGTCCTTGACCAAGGAAAACTTTCAGAGTACAGTAACTGGAAGGAACAGCTCGACCTCCACATGGACCCTATCGACCTCCGCTTGGCATCCGTTCGAGAGGCCAGGAATGCCGAGAGGCGGTTCTGCTTCGAAGTAATCACTCCCCATTATACCAGAGTATACCAGTCTACATCACAAGAAGACATGACGAGCTGGATATCAGCCATCAACAACGCACTTCAGAGCGCCATGGAAGGCCGAGGCATTCAAGACATTGTCGTAGCTCCAAGAGCTCCACAGGAAGGATCCTCTATCAGGCGCGACATCGGCTCCATCCTAACGGGCAAGAGCGGTTCCCTGGGCCACGCCGCCCATGCAGCCCACCAATCCATCAACTCCTCCGTCCTCAACAAAAACGACATCTTCCGCCGCACCACCGTCGGCGCACGCCCCGCCTACCAACGCAAAACCAGCGCCGCCCTTGACGAGAGCCCCGACAAGCTGCTGCAAGTCCTCCGCGAAGCCGACCAAGGCAACTGCTGGTGTGCCGACTGCGGGTCAGGCGTCAAGACGGAATGGGTCTCCATCAACCTCGCCATCATCATGTGCATCGAGTGCAGCGGGATCCACCGCTCCCTCGGCACGCACATCTCAAAGGTCCGCTCCCTAACCCTCGACATCACCTCCTTCACCGCCGACATCGTCGAGCTCCTCCTCGCCGTCGGCAACCGCATCTCCAACACGATCTGGGAAGCACGTCTGGACGCCTCGCTCAAGCCCTCCCCACAAGCAACCCGCGACCAGCGCCTCAAATTCATAACAGCCAAGTACGTCGACCGCGCGTACGTCGCGCCGCTGTCGCCCACGCTCTCACGCTACGGTACGCCGGATGAGACGCTCCTGGCCGCAATCAAGAAGAACGAAATCCAATCCGTCCTTTACGCCCTCGCTCTCCGCGCTAACCCAAACGCAACCGACAAATCCCGCGCCACGCACGCCGTCTTCCTCGCTCTCGCGGCCGCGGACCCGGCGTCTCCTTCTTCATCGCTTCCGCCAGCGCCGCCGCGCACGGCGGACAAGCCGAAGAGCGTTGCATTTCCAGTTGCAGAGCTGCTCGTGCAGAATGGTGCCGAGGTACCTGCTGCCTTGCCGGCATTCCCGCTTAGTAGGGCTGCGGCGCTGTATGTGGATGTTAAGCTTGGGAGGGGAGAGAAGCTGGGTGATCGCATTGCGCCGTTACCTGGTGTGGGGGCTGGGCCGACGGGAGCGATTAGTAGTAGTCCTGCGGAGAAGGAGAGGGCGAGGGAGGCGAGGTTGCAGAAGCGTGTTAGTGCTGGGGGGCGGCTGGCGAGGGCTGTGATACCGGAGAGGTGACGCGAGGGGTCTCGGGGTGGGGAAGGTGGGTTGGGGGAGAGGAGGTGGAGTTGGGGCGGGCTGGGGGGGTGGAGTGGTGGGATTTAATGTTGATTTGGGAATACCAGGATTGTTTTCGTGTTGTGGAGGTTGGCGTTTTTGTGGGAGGTATGATGGGTTATATTTTTCTAAGAAGGGTGTTGGATAGACACATATAGTAGATGTCTGAGTTGTACGGATAGAAGGTATGGGAATGGGTGGGTTGGGTGGCGCAATGGGGAGGATATATAATAGCTGATTCGAGGGGGAAGGAGGGAGGCATCTTTCTGCGCAAGGGTATCTTATGGCGGCATAGTATGGCATTATTCAACTAGGCAAACGAGGAAAGAAATTACTGCTCTATGTATTGGTCATGGGACGTTGTAGAGTTGTAGAGATGTGATATTGAAATTGAACGACTCGGATTTTGAACCGCGATACACATGGCACAAGCCCCCTTTATGTGGTTACAGCACTCTTGGAGATGGGACCCAGGGTAATATAGCAATATATGAACGCATGATATGCATCACAATCTAAGAAGACATTATCAAGGTATTGTATCTACATCCATTCCCCCATTTTCACTTCGGTTCATACTTCTGTTTCCATTCACTGATTTCTACCTCTACTTCCGTTTCCATTCCTATTTTCACTCTCGTTTCTACTTCTGTTTCCATTTACCAATTTCCACTTCTACGTCGATTTCCATTCCCCTATCTCTACCTCTATTTCCGTTCCATTCCCGTTTTCACACTCGTTTTATTTCTGTTTCTATCCCCCCATTTCCATCCCTCTATTTCCATTCGCCCATTTCCATTCGCCCATTTCTACTTCTATGTCTGTTTCCATTTCCAATTTTTATTCCTCTACCTCTACTTCTACCTTCCTTAAACTTAAAAATACATCATAACAAATATACCCTGCCTATACTAAGATATACCACAAAATGCCATTATTGTCCTACTTATTATAAATGACATATCTACATTTTAGTTGTCTATATTACCCTAATGTCATATGTTAACCTACGATTATGCCTAGAAATCTAAATTATGATGTTATATCCCCTCTTATATAATAAACAAACCTTACTTTTATAGTATCTATAGAAGTAAATCTATAGGATCATAAGAGTGATCTTGTATATAAAATTAAATGAGAATAATGAGAGGTCTATCTATTAATATAAACATAAATACTAATTATAAGTAGAGGCAGGTAGTTGCTCATGTTTCTAAGGACATAGATCATCTTTGACCATAGGCACTGAAATCATTAAGAAAATTACTGCCAAAATAGAAGAAATACGTAAGGGCGGTATTTACAAAGGCATCTAAAGCGACATGTCCGTTTCCTCCAACAGCCCCTTTACGGAGTCTATAGAGAAGTGATAAGGGTGGGGTGGTTAAGTCCGAGACAGATCGGGGATACGATACGGGGATATGTGTGTACGGAGATATGAGATGGGGGGAAAATGAGAAAATTAGTCGATGGACTAGGAATCACCAAGTCCACCACCACCATTTCGAGCGAGAACCGTATATGGGAACTTCAAAGGAATATGTAGGAGCATTATGGGACATTATGGGAACGCTATGGGAGCGCTGTAGTGTTACTGGGAACTTCAAAGCGACATGTGGGAGTATTATGGGAGCATTATGGGAACGCTATGGGAGTGTTGTAGTGTTACTAGGAACTTCAAAGCGATATGAGGGAGCATTATGGGAGCATTATGGGAACGCTAAAGGAGCGCTATAAGAGTGCTATGGGAGAGTTGTGAGAGCGCTATGGGAGAATAGGAGATTCGTAGAAGTGCGCTAATAATAAAATTCGACATACGAACTATGGGTTGATTGTGTATATGCTAAATGAAGATATAACGCTGTATAATTGCTATAAAAATCTTAGAAGTGCGCAATATACCACAGTACGTTGCGCATCGCAAATTTTAAAACACCTCTTACTATGTACCTAGATATGTCCCGCCTATGGTAGCTGCTCGAAAACCACTCTACTAATCGATCACGTCAAAACCCTGAAAACACAGCCAAAATCAGCCCTTCGCTATGCAAACACCGTTTTTTTGAAAATCAGCAGGCTGACCCCTTCAAGTCTAAAATCGCCATACAAATCTTACAAGTGCGCAATGTACCACGGAAATGGAGGTACATTGCGCAAAATGCAAAATGCAAAAGTACACGAAATAAATAGAGAATATGGACCGATATTACCTTCGAAATGCCTCTACGCTCCTATCTCTGTATTTGCGCAAATTAAGGTTTAATTATACAAAAGTGCGCACATTCATCATACAAACTCAGTTTATTTACATAATATCATTATTATAACTATTGCTAAACTAGTTGTGTTGTTGTAGGCCTCGTGAAACTCGTCTTCTTCTCCTATTAATAACCACTAAGTTTACCGTTAAAATAACTGTTAGAATTTCCGCTCACAAAGCCGAAAAAGCTGTGGTGCGCGAAACTACTTCTAACATAACCACCGACTGCAAAGTTTTGAGATTCCTGGCCGTAGTTTGGTGTCATTGCGCCACACTCATTCGACTCGGATTTGACCATAATGCTGGAAATATTCTCCTCGGTATACTCGTCGACATTGCTATCATTGTCTTCATCCTCTTCCTCAGCATCCGACTCGACGTAGGTCGGAATCGCAGCCGCGGCCTTGCGGGGAGTGCGCACCTTGGCGACACGACCTCCCTTTTGTGTTGTTGAGTGACTCCTTTGGTGTGAACGTGGAGCCCGCCAGTTCTAGGCTGTAGTAGCAGGTTTTGAAGCCTCGGGCAATGTCAGCAACAACGAGCAACGGCAGCATTAGGAAAGATCAGTGAGAAACAGCAGAATCGAGTAGCAGATATATTAAGTAGTAGAATTATTAAGTGGTAGCAACGTCGAGTGAACGGGCTAGGCAAATTTAGTGTGATGCTATGTGGGGTGAAAACTCGTGCACAGAAGCCGAGGTAATAGAGTGGCTATCTCCAGGTAGAATTTAAATCTGTTTCTGCTTTAAAGGGTAAAGCGAAAATGTGCCGTGTGTGAGTGATGTTACAACAAGCAATAGCCAAGACGAGTAGTGTGTGATTAGAGTTGTAATATGCTATAGCCAAGATGGGACGTTTCCAAGTTGGTCCTAACACTTTAGTTGCCGACCCTAGTAACTTCTTAGCATGCACCAGTTATCGGCTATAGAGCTGTCATGAAGAGTGCGCATTATCAATCGCTTGGTAATGTGTAGTTTCAACGGGCTAAGAATGGAAACGAAATGTAGTTTAAAGGAAAACTCTAGGGGGATACAGTTGCCGCTCGATTGTTCAATTGCCGACTCATTGACTTCCCCGCACTTCCTTACCAAACTTTTATATAATGGCAGAATGCCGGGAGGGAGATTGAGGCTACTGTATTGTCGTCAGCTCTACCCGCGTATTGCTCCGGAGGGAGATGTAATTAGTAAAGCTCCAATCCCCCTCTTCCCCATTAAATGAAGTCGATTCTCACCCTCACCCCGGATTCGTTCTATCCCCTCTTCCCCAGGAAATGAAGTCGACTCTCACCCTCACCCCGGATTCGTGCTATCCCCACAAAGGAGGGGAAATAACGCTCGAACGGCTCCACTTCACCCCGCATTTGAGTGCTCCTTAGTTTCCTTTTTGGGCTCATTTCCAATCCACCCCAAAAGCTTGGTTGCCGACATAACTATTGAGCCATGTACTATAGAATATAAATATAAGTAGTTTCGCTAATTAAGGACTTGGCATCCATATCTACTGAGTCTTCAATCGGCGAGACTGAAAGTCTATTATCCTAAAGTCATCATGTCTCCAATCCTCTTTGCCCTGGTGCAATTGCTCCCTGTCGCCCTCTGTCTGAGTACGACCCAGCCAAGCTTCACTGCAGCTCAACTATCCCATGAAGTCGTTACTTTTGACAAGCGGGCTGCTGCTACGTCTGCCAGTCCATTGAACCGTCAACTCCTGGGACTATCCATTGAGTTTGTCTTACTTTTCCAAGTTTAACGATACACACACTAACGTGTAAAATATAGATTCTGCTGGATCACTGGCTTCCTAGGCGACGTTAACCAAGAAAACGCGCTGTCTCTTCGCCTCCTTCAGAACATCCAGGATCTTTCAGGTTTTCCGCCGAGGATCCGCATCGGTGGTGATACCCAGGATGTTGCGAATTACTGCGATGACTGTACTCAAACCCTCAACAATACATTCGCCAGCAATAGCGAAATAGGTCTATTTGCCAATACCGAAGCTGCTAACGTCACTTTTAATAAGAATCTGTTCAGAGTTCTCAACGAGAACGTTCCGAGTGAGCAGGAGTATACATTTGGACTGAACTTTGGCGAAAACAACATTTCGAACACCTTGGCGGAGTTCAAAGCTGTTGAACAATACATGAATCTCTCACGAATTACAGCCTACGAGCTAGGTAATGAACCCGACTTTTATTCCGCCTACAGGCAATTTCGACCATTGAGCTGGGACATCTTTTCCTATGCTCAGCAAACAGCGAGCTTCCTAACAAAGATAACTGCTTCATTAAGCAAGACCGAGGCAAAGAGATTCGCCGGATATATGTCCGCATCCTTTGCCAATGCTCCAGTTGATCAAGGCGACTTCTCTATAAGTTCATTGATTAAGATGGGAATTAAAGAAGTTGTGAGCGAGATTAAGATCTTTAGCAACCATTGTTATTTCGGAGATGTTTGCACGCGTAAGTTCCTTATATTGCTTTGTCGCCGTGTTTTCTTACTGATAATTTTGGGCGTCTAGCGGCAGATGCAGCTCTGGTGTCTCTCCCGGTACTTTTGAACCATATTCATACGTTTCAAATGGTGCAACAATTCACATCAGCGATATCTGCTGCTAAGTCTGTGGGCGCTCAGTTCTTTATGGGTGAAACAAACTCTGCTGCCTGCCACGGATTGGCAGGTGTCTCTGACACTCTTGGAGCAGCACTCTGGATGTTGGATTACTCGTTGACCGGTGCGACTGCTGGCATGGATGGCTTGTACTTCCACAACGGAGTCGGTTTTCCTTACAGTGTATGGCAGCCAATTGCAGTTAATGGCACAGCTGCACATGCAAGTGGACTGTGAGTATTTTCTAAAGCAGCCCGTGCCCATTCCCATTCCCATCATTTCTGACCTGGACTGTTTCTAGGTATTACGGATTTCTTTTATTCGCCGACCTTGTATCAAATCTTGGCCGCACGCCAGAAATTGCACCAATACCTTCCCTAGATGCTACTGACCTTGCACATTACGCTGTGTATTCTTCCTCGTCCAACCTTCAAAAGCTGGTCATCCTCAACCTCGACTATATTAATGGCACTAACCCTCGCACATACAAGACTTTTGACGTGTCTGCTGAGTTTGGGAAGGATTTCACTGTTAAGAGACTATCGGGTTCCTCTTCCATTGCTACCCAAGGCTTGACTTGGGCAGGTCAAACCGTGGATGGAAATGGGCACCTAAGCGGGGCCAAGGTTGTTGAGAAAGTCACAAATGGAGTGGTTTCTATCGGGTCTTCCGAGGCGGTTATTATTGAGAGGGTTTAATAGATCTAATAAGACTTCAGGTTGATGATGTATCTTAGGAGAATAAAGACGTCTATTTGAACTTTACTACTAATGCTCTCTAAAGCTGTCGACTTTTTGACCAGGATTAGAACTTTCATTACTCCGCCATCATACCTCCATCAGTTTTAGGCACCTCAAGCCATTAATAGTAGCAGAATCATTATCGCTTTTATAGCTTTCCTAATCATGATATTTTCCGATCCTCTGTCGACATAAAACATTGTTAGCCACACCCGCGAAAGTAAACAACTGCCTGGAAACCCCCGAAGCTTTCAATCAAAAAGATGACGCAATTTCCGTCGGTACATTCCGAATCTATGATATCTGCAACCCTGGGTTACGTGCCATCACTTTACTGTGTTTCAGTTATACCCATACAAAAATCGATGATTTTTCAGATCCATTCCAGTTTAGAATTCCTTTCTATCCGTCTAGTAAAAACTTACAGCAGCGAAATTTATCTAGCACTTTATTAGTGAGCAGGGTTGAGACCCTTCACTAGTAATTGCGCTAAAATCTGACCCTCAAACATGGCGCCCCCAAAAACACAGGGGCCAGGTTTGATCATTCAATCAAGGCCGCTGAAAGCGAAATCGAAAAGCCCAGCGGCGTGCAATAATTTATAACCTGCGTATGTGCTCACGTAATTATTGTATTTTTGTTAAACCTAGCCAAATTCATATTAACCTCCAGGGTAGGCTAAAATACGAGGCCATGCTCAAATGATCAAACCCCCAATCCCAACAGCTAATAGACCGAGTGCCATAAGGACCCACTGAGCACTACCTCTACTCTCGAAGCTATTTACGCCAGCACTCTTTGTCGGGGTCGTAGTGGCTGCTGACGAGGTTGATGAGCTACTGCTCGCGGCTGATGAGCTACTGCTCGCGGCTTGAGGTGGCCCAATACTGCCACCTTGAACGACCGACGGGGTAGGCGGGTTTGAAACTTTGGCAGCGCTAGCTTTGTATTGGTCAAGCGATTCTGAAGCGTTGGATCTAAGTTATGATCTTATTAGTCGTTGCTATAAGACGAATGCGACATTCGAAACCTACGAAGGATTAATGACCCCAGCCATGCCAGTCTCACAATGAAGTGGGGTTGCACAGAAAAACCAAATTGGATTTGTATCATTAACGATGAGAGTAAAAACGTTGGCGTTTTGTCCACTTGCAGTAGTAATTGCTCCACTCCAGAATCCTGTTCCATTGGCCAAAGGGGCGCATGGAGACTCGAAAGTGGACTGGGTGACAGAATGGATAGGCGGGAAGAATACAAATTCAATACTAGACCCAACGGCCGCTGTAATAGTGTCTGGCGAGAATGCGATCGCATTGTTATCACCGACGGTTACGGTTTGCACCCCGGGAGCAGAGGATGTTGTTGCAGACGCTACAGAGGTTGTGGTGGAACTACTTGCGGTTCCTCCACCTCCACCATACTGCGCGAGGGCAAATGGAAACAGAGAGAGAAAGAGTGGCTTGCTTGAGAAATGCATATTAAATTATATTATTTGAAGCTAGAAAGAGGCAGTCTAGAAGTTTGTTGATTGATACCCGTTAAAGTAACTCTTATAGGTTCGAGAAAGGTTCGGGGCAGGTTGGGATTTTTAAGTCGAAAGGGTAGAACAACAGATATTTATGACGTGGGGACTTTCCTCTATTCGATGGATTTTGGGTGAGGTAGGTACTCTCTAGGAGGGCCACACTCTACGTCAGAGTGACCTACATATGTATTACCACATACCTAATTACTGCCTAGCTGCTATTGCCGCCTTAGAAAACCGCGGTTTTCTAAAAGAGGTTTGTAGACAAAGTGGCAAGCTGTGCTCATCCGTCTCCCACGCTACCAAATAATGGACCCCCTTGTCTAACCTGCTAATGCTTTTTCTCAACGCAATGGACTTGCTCATCAGCATTTTATCAGCAATTTGTCAGCCTACGCGGCCTTCGAAGCTCGGATACGATCGTATCCGAGCTGTTCTACGGCGTGTCAAACGAAAGTTGATAAAACAGCATCGTACGCGGCCTTCGAAGCTCGGATATGAGCGTACCCGAGCTGTTCTACGGCGTGTCAAACGAAAGCTGATAAAACAGCATCGATGCGAACCCAAGAGGTCACCATCTTTGCTCTGATGCCCGGCAATATTTCTCTCGCATACTTTCTTCTTCGGATTTTGAGAACCTTAGGATTGAATTAACAAGTCTAATCATGATGAGGATCCACAGACTCGCACTGGCGGCGCTTATATTAGCATTTAGTAAGTCGACAAGAAGAAGATGGGAGCAACTGTCTAACCTGCAATCAAGCATCGGAGATTGTTTTTGGCCAGGAGGTTCATGACCAGCGCAATGCAAGAGACGTCCACCAGAAGCGGAATCTCGATTCCTTCGAAATCTTTAACCGGAAACGAAACGCGCATGCCTGCATTATGTCGATTGTTTTCATTGTACTTTTTCCCCTGGGCGCAATCTCCATCCACCTGCCCATTGATCGTGTTCCTTACTTAAAGAATACATACCTTAAGAAGAAGGTCATGGCGATCCACGTCCCTATCCAGGTGCTAGGCTCCGTTATGATGGTCGGCGGAATGGCCCTTGGGATTAGAATCGGTCAAGATCTCGGCTACCTTAGGCACCCTGTGCATGCCCATGTGGTCATTGGCTTCATCGTCGTTTGCACCATTATCGTCTTCCAACCCATCATGGGTATCCTTCAGCACCGACATTTTAAGAAGAGAGGGGACAAGAGCATCTTCGCCTACCTGCACCGATGGATAGGACGTGGTGCAATTATCCTAGGCATGATCAACAGCGGTCTAGGTTTTCAGCTGGCCCAGACTAATGTAATAGTATCCACTGGGTCGTATATTAGAAACTACGTCCTCCTGGGTTTTTTTGTGTCTATCTGGCTTAGTCTCGTCTTGTACGACGAGTTTAAGATGCACCAGTCGAGGTTCGTCACAAGTGGAATCAGGAGAGGATGCAGTAAACGAGATATAACAAGAGAGCATCATGTGTAAAAGCTCCACCAGAGATCGTGCTTAAGAGGAAGGTTGCCAGAAGCGGTTCTTAGAGAGCGCTGGGTGGACTGAAAGAACACTCGTCCTTCGGTGGAATAGTCATTGGCTTTGGCTTTGTGGGTCCGGGGATTACGATGTTAAGTCTAACTAGTTAAGCGTTTTACACTCGATATCGGGTACAGGGATGGGAGCAATTGAAATCAGTCACGTGGTTTTCATGGGCAACCACGTGCAACCACGTGACTGCTCTGGCTCTGTGGAGAACAAGTATATGTTCTAGTTAGCCATCACCATGTCGTAGTTTTCGCAGGCGGACGTCTGAACTGAAATGACACTGGTATATAGTCTTGATTTACAAAAGCTCACTCATACAGGAAAGTCCCTCGTGGCGCAATTGGCTAGCGCGTTCGACTGTTAGCAAGATTCTGTTATCGAGAGGTTGGTGGTTCGAGCCCACCCGAGGGAGTTCATTTTTTTGCGTTTCTCATTAATTTTTAGTGGGAACATATCATTTTTGCCCTACTAAAATATGGCCAGAGCGTATAAAAGGTACGTACCACCACCGTAGGAACTGGCTCCGTCTAGCCAAGACAAAAGAGACCAAAAAATAATCCGGCAAGGGCGGCATCTACTAGTAGCACAGGGGCCATTCTCCATCTTGGCCCTGTTGGCCCCTCTAGGAGAGCACTTCACAATAGTTGGCGTTGTTATATTTTGCCAATTAACACGCTGATGGGAGAGAGATTTATATATACGGATTGATCTTTAGGAATCATTTCACCACGCCACTTCTCTACTCATCCCGATAACTCCCCATTGAACTTCGAGAGACCGAGTACCAGAGTTCGCTTTCTGCAGATCCTAGACTATTCAGCCCCGAACCAGGAATCCATAATTGACAGCCTTGCCAAGAAAGGGCCTTACTAGGTGTCAATATTGTGGGGAATCTACCACGCCGCCGATTCTATTTTCAGCTTTCCTCCTCCTCGCTCGTGCTCTTTTCAATTCCCAAATATACCCGGCCTCTCTATATTTCCACTTCTCCTGTCAGCTGAGTTACTGTCCAAGGAATTGTGCGCTTAGGATCCTCAAAGCGTAAGCAAGCCACAGTTGGAAGTTATTGGTAGACCAGTAAACAGGACGCGGGACGCAACGCCTCAATTCAACTTCAGCCGCACATCACATTGCCACTCGACGGCGCAGTTCACACTTGTTAATCCTCTGTCGACGACCATATATACTTCCTCCGACTGAAGTCATTCTGAATCCTGCAAAAGACTCTCATATCTCTTCCTAAACCGACAAAATGGTCGACGCCACACGGAAACCAGAGGAGCCCGTCTCCAATGATGGACCAGCCTCCAACGACACCCAGCAACAACAAGAAGAACCCAATTCCCAGAACGAAAGGTCCGAACAAGAGCCAGAAGCCCAAGAAGGTGGTTCCCACCACCCAGATCAGGAATCCGAAGCCATAGAGAAGCGCTCGAAGAAGGGCAAAGTGAAGGACAAGGTCGAGGAGAAGAAAAAGAAGGCCTACGAGATGGCCAACCCCCCGGGCGGGTACGACTCGACGCCCGTTCCGTCAGCCCCAGATGGATATACCGTCAAGTTCACATTCATCCGCGCCGAGAACCTGCCCATTGGCGACCTGGGCACAGCGTCTTCGGACCCGTTCGTGATAGCGACGTTGACGAGCCATGGGATTAAGCCGAGACACAAGGAGGACCCTGAGATGAGGTTGCGGACAAGGACAATTCAGAAGGATACTAATCCGGTTTGGAACCAGGAGTGGATCGTGGCTGGCATTCCGAGCAGTGGCTTCAAACTCAAGTGCCGCCTCTACGACGAGGATGCCAATGACTCGGACGACCGACTCGGCAACGTGACGGTGGTGGTGCCGCACATCAGTGAGAATTGGGAGGGAATGCGCGAGGCTGGCTTCCCGGTCAAGAAGCGGATGGGCAGCTGGCGCGCATATCTCTTGAAGGGCATCACGACGATGTGTGGCAGCGATGGGGATCTCTCGGGCCAGCTGTTCCTGAGCATGGAGGTGCTGGGAAAGAGCGATAAGCCGCATGGGAAGATGTATACCGTGGGACCTACGAGATGGACGAAGCACTACAGTCCCATGATTGGCCGTCTTGCTGGCACCAAGGCGCCAAAGGTCGAGGGACATGAAGGCGAGAAGGCCAAGGTTGAGAGATACGAGTAAGTCCGGTCAACTTCAATCACCATCCCAAAACTAACACCCGCCAGTTTCCAAGCCAACCAAATCCAACTGCAAGGCCCCGTCCCCGACGAACTCTACCACCGCTTCGTCGAATTCAAACCCTTCGTCAAAGGCATGTTCGACAAGACCGGCCTCCGCGGCCACGTTCTCAACGCCGCCCTCCACCACCAACACGCGCGCGTCTACAACTACTCCAACACCACCACCCACGGCACCATGGAGCCCAAATCCCAAGAAGCCGCACTGCAGTTCCTGAAACTCGCGCACTTCGACGAAGGCGGCCGCCTCTTCACCTACGTCCTCACCCTCGACGGCCTCCTCCGCTTCACCGAGACGGGCAAGGAATTCGGCATCGACATGCTCAGCAAACACACCATGCACAGCGACGTCAACCTCTACATCGCGTGCTCGGGCGAATTCTTCATCCGCAGACTCAAGGACAAGAATAGCAGCCCCGAAGACCCGAATCAGCAGACCCACCCTACCGATGACATCGAAGGCGGACCGCCCCACTCACCCCCGCCCAAGGACCCAGCGAACTACGAACTCGTAATCGACAACGACAGCGGCACCTACCGCCCCGACGGCTCGCTCCTTCCCAAACTCCAATCCTTCCTCGAAGCCAATCTCCCGGGCCTCAAGATCGTCACGAAGCCCTGCACGGACGACAAGCTGCAGCGCATGAAGAAGGAGCAGCGCGAGACGAAGAAGAGGCAGGGAGAGCAGGTACAGGTGTACCAGGGCGATAGCGATGGGGGGTGGAGCTCCAGTGATGAGGAGAGCATGGATGAGCGCGCGCAGGGGAAGAAGAGTAAGAAGGATAGGATGTTTGAGGCGATTGAGGACCCCGAGGCCGCGATTAGGGGGCTGAGACATGGGGGGAGGGCGAAGAGGGAGGAGAGGGAGGAGGAGGAGGATAGAGTGGATGATACGGTTGAGGCGGGGGAGGGGGCGGCGAAGAAGTGAGGCGAGATTGATGGTGAGGGTGGGTAAGTCGGACGCGCGGGCGGGTTGAGCGTGACGGCTTTGTATATGGGCTACTCTCTTTTAATTGCGGTTGGGTTTCGTTTGTTTGGCATGGCTTGAGCTAGATGCGTAAGGACTGCGCGGAAAATCTTGTTTTTTAATACCCGGACACCCTGGTGGGGGGTGATATACACGGCCTTGCGGCCATTTATGCGTTTTCTTTTTATCTCGGGGAGGGAAGCACGTCTTGCTTGAAAGCCACTGCGAGGGTGGGTGGTATATAATGTTTTATTGCGGTGGGAAAGTGGAAGGGAAAGCATATGATGGCTTTTTAGTTTCAGTAATTATAGCTATTGCTTTGTATAAATTCGTTTTCAAGATCACACTCAGGTCCAGTAATTACTTTTGAACCATGATGACGAAGGCAAACCCAACTCGCAAGGCGGGAAAATTTCTAGGAAGTAAAGACGCTCTGAAGATCGATTGATTGACCCCGAGTTGGAAATAGTATTAATAACCAGTAGACCTTTCTTTCCAAGCTCACCCATCACCGACCATCCATTCAGGTAGTTTCACTTACTGGGAAGAATTGCCAGACGGCTTTGACACGCGTGGTCGCGGTGTGATTCTGTTATGGCGCAGCTACTTACTCGCCGGCAGTTCTCAGAGGACATTGGCACTCGGCGAAGACAACAGATCGGTGACGGTGACAGAGTAATGACAACAGCAGCAGCAGTGTTGTGACGACAACAGAGCGGCAGAGGGATATTTCTACACCCCACGTTGCGGTCCGAAACCCACCCCCTGGTCAAGTGCGAGCTATTCCCAAGCAAAGGGGTGAATTCTGTGGCTCTATGTTTTCCTGTATATGCTGCGATAATCTGGAATTTTCGACCGGATATATACATGATATTTCTGACCTCGTTGTGTCGTTTATTGTAAGGCATCATTGGGGGGAGGAGAGAGGGTTCCCTTCTATGATGCTCTGCAATGTTATATTTTCTCAAGCTGCAAGTGTACAGCAAGTCCTGTAATTACAATCATCGGTTTGGCCTGAATTGGAAATAGTTTAAATAACATCATTCGGGACCTAGATAGATGTTTCGAAGCAAACTTGCACCGATACAGGTATTTCCATTATCCTGGGCCAGTCCCAGACGACTTTGGCGCCCATGATGGCGAGACAGGTCCGCTTTGGCAGAGCACTTATTCTCTAGGCGATCCCCTCCGAGGACGTTGGCTTGCAGCGACTATGATAGCGACAGCAACTGAACGGTGCTGGCAAAGGAGTAATGACAGCAAGGAGGCGGTGACAGTGTGCTTCTCTGCCTAGGGGTAAGCCGTCTCACGGCCATAATGGATGAGACCAGCCGGAATTTCTGCTTCAGGGTCAGTATCCGGGCATTCTAAATCGCCTCCCGTAATGCGGAGGTGTTCGAGGTATCTCTCCATAAGCGCATTAATCTCCTGACCAACGTCCTGGTATTCTGGAGAACCCTCGTCGCCCCCCCTCAAGTTGCGTTTCCTTGGGGTTGCGGATGATGGTTGAATAGGTTTCGATCTGCCCGCCCACCCAGGAATGAAGCAGTCTCGCCCTCCACTTATTGGCGCCATGCAGATGCGTACACGTAAACCCAGTCAGCAAAGCAGTTTCAGGCTGAGGTCAACTCAGTCTCCAATCAATCAGTTTCTGGTCAAACAATATAACACCGTTATGAAGTCCTAGTATACACGCTGCTCTACCCCATACTCGTGCCAGGTCTAGAAAACGCCAATCCCCTTCCATCCCGCCTAATCCTGCTTGAGCGGCTTGTAAATCTCCTCAATCCCATCCTTCGTAATAACCATCATCAACAGCCCATCACCAACCTCAATATGCCTCTCCACCGCGCTATCAAACGCATCCTTCACTAAATCCTCCACGACATCTCTCCCCAACAGCACCCTCTCCCTCTCCTTCAAGTTATGCCCAACCCCACTCCCCGGCTCATACTGGTTCTTGAAGTTCACCTGACTGTCCAAGAACGGCATGATCAAGCTCGCCGCCGCACCACCCGCACGACACTGCTCCCTCTCGTAGCTGCCCACGGGATCGTAACTGTACACGGCGCCCTTGCCCTCCTCATCCAAGCCGCCCAGGATCGCGTGCGCGTAGTACGGGAAGAAGCGCTTCTGGTACAGGATGATCGACAGCCTCTGCGCCGCAGCCTTGACCGTCATAGCCTTGCCGTGCTGGTAGCGGTACAGCTTGACCACGGTATCGAGGCGCTCCTTGAGCGCGTTGGCGTCGGCTGCGAAGCCGACCACGGAGAGAATCAGGGTTGCGTCGCGTTGTGTCGAGTCGCTACCGCCGATCTTGAAGACTTTGGGCTCGTAGCGGGTGTTGATGTTGTAGCCGGACGTGGAGCGGGTGTCGCCAGCGAGTATGGCGAAGTTGTCGCCTGCAATGGCGAGGGTGGAACCACCGTTGTCGGTGTATCTGTGGGAGGGGTGTTAGTTCAAGCTGTGACCGAGGAAGAAGAGGACGTACGGGTCGAAGCGGTGTTGCCTGTAGCCATCTGCGGCGGAGGATGGGGCTGCGGACTGGTTGAAGGAGTAGTTGGGCCCGTTCATCACAGGGTTCTGGCTGAACATGGCTGCCATCTTGGGCGAGCGAGGTGCGTCTGAGTTGTCAGGTGAGTTTATTCGGGTTGATCGGTGAGGAGGATCGGATTGTGGATGTAATGGGACGTGAAGCTGTTGTGTGGTGGTTCTGATGGAGCTGTTGATGATATGATGAGGTTAGGTTGCGTTGCCAAAGCTGCCTGTTGTTGTAATCGCGGCAGGGGTACCAGAAGCTCCTACGGTGACCTTGAAAGCCGCGTGGAGCAGGTCCAAATTATAATTCGGGGACCCTTTATCGCGAACCACAACACGTTAGCTTGAACCGCCAACCTTGGAGGGTAATATTCTGGCAATGGATACGTGAGTGGCAATTAATCCATATTGAACAAATTAATGCTAATTATTGGGAATAGGCGGGCTAGAGGTATTCGGCGCAAGGCGCTGCAGAAAATCGCAGCTCTTTCCGTGACGTCGACCGGCAAGTCGCAAGGCAACCCTGATTTGGAGCGACTCTATAATATATTCCCTTCTCGTTCGACTTCGAAGGCTGCAGTCAACGGCCATGCGGACGAGGACAATAATATCCCCCTAGGGGGAGTGGCTATGGTACGTTGATTCAAGCTGAGCGCATATTGCGACGTTACTGACTTGCTTCCCCAGAACATTAGGGAATTCGAAGTCCTACTCGCATTATGCAAGGCCGCGCCACTTCTTCAGGATTATCAAAGTGCCGAGAGACTTGCTGCGCAGCTGGCGCCATATACCCTCGAAGCGCACACCCAGGTCTTCGTCACCTCCCCTTTTTTCAGGGAGATTGAGCCGTCGCCCATCGAGTCGCTGAATTTCAACCTCACCAGCGCCCTCTTGTCACTGGGCATAAACCACCCTGGTCTACAGAGCGCCATATCGAAGAACTTCACAGCGTATCTCGACAGATGCCAGTATACCGCGAAGGCAGTCATTTCCAGACAGGAATCTGCAGTCGGAAAGGAGGAGATTGGGGATGTTGAGGATGCGATCAATGTTGCCAGAGTAGCAATCGCTCTGCTGGGATTCCTTGATGCAGCCACGATACAAGCCAACTTTTGGACGGCCGGTGAGAGGCTCGCCTTAATTACAGTTGTTAAGAGAGTCCTCTCCGAGGACTTCCTGGTGGCGGTCGAGACTGCATTCTCGAGGATCCGCAACTACCAATCTACAAACCGCGAGATTAAGGAGTGGAAGAGACATGTTCGACACTATGCTGCCACCGGTCGTCCACTTGGGGCTATGCTGCTACAGCGAAGCTTTATGTGGCTTCTGGTCGCGACATCATCTCTCCTTATCGCGGATACGAAAACGCTCAGAGACAACTGCATCCTTGAGTTAATGATGGGCGACACGATGCCTCGCCCGCTTACATCGCACACTGCAGAGGAGTCATTACCTAGCATCGAGACCATGGCTGAATTCGTTACCGAGGAAATGAATAAGCTGGAGGATGGTGCCGACTACCTCAGAATTGGATCTGCATGGCAACAGCGAATTGCCTTCGCTGTAAAGGCGGGCGCTTTGACTTGCTATCTCAACTGCGTCACCTTCAATGACGACGTGGCTGATGCAGAGAGCCTTATGATCTGGCTGGAAGAAACTCTTTCTGATCCAATCCAGATGGCCGACGAGACATTGGCGAATGTTGTGCTTCGTTCCATGGCATTGGTCGCGCAGATTTCTCCCAGTTTAGCGCCAAACATGAGCAGAATCCTCCCACGGTTCATCGTGCAAGGCTCTCCTCGAGGCGAGACCGTTGCCGTGGCATCAACCTGCTTGGCATTTGTGCTGCGTTTACTCTCCGAGGATGCCGTGATCACAACTCTCTATTCGCTTGGGAATGTCCTGACACCCATCACAAGCACGGAAAGAGTTGTTGCAAATCAAACCAGAGGCGAGACAGCCAATGGTCATGCCAGCCCCGCCTTTTATGGGGTCAAGCAGACGGGTAGTGCCATATCTTTGACTGCTGCGGGCGAGCTGGAGGTTGCTGTCGTATATGGAAATGTCATCAAGGCCATTCGTGTCATAGCCGAGAGCTGCGCCGATGACAAGATAACGGCGCTTGCCCAAAGTATGCTTCTCCAGAAAATCACTAAAATTGACACTGCTGTCGATGCGGCCATCATCTACGAGGCAGCTGTTCTGGCGTCAACGGGAGCTCCCGTTGAGTTGAAATCGCTCCTCAAACTCTATAGCAGGTTAACCCAAGAGGCACTGCTGGACGAAAATGAGAGCTTGTTGGCCGCCCTATTGAAGACAAGGAACTATCTCTCTTCAACTCTGAAGAAGGGTTCGCCGGCTTACGATATTTATTTTGAGTATCTCCTTGAAACAATCATCAGCCGAGGCGATGTGCACCAATTGCATCACACCCGCGAGTCGGACGTTGAGAGTGCAGCAAGAGAGATTGGGACCCTGGTTCAACCTTTGGCATTGTTGATGTCAGCCAACAACCTAGGCAAAGATGAAACTACTGACGATGATATTTGGGCACTCGTACGAGACGCTTGGTTCAATATGGTTGTTCATGGCTTCACTACTTGCACTGAGAGGGGGAGGCAATATCTCGACGAGCTCCGTCTTCTGGCCGTAAACTCCAAACCCTTGGTCACAGAGCAGAGGGGAGAGCAACTGGAAAGCGATATCGAACTCAACAGTGTTCTCCGAAGAGGCA